CCGGGCCGGGCCGAACCGAGACCGGGACCGGGACCGGGACCGGGACCGCGACCGCGACCGCGAATCGGCACCTGGCCCTGGCCGGGACCGGAACCCTGATCCTGCCCCCAGCCCCACCCCCTCGGGCTCCATAGGAACCCGTGGAGCGAGATGCAGCACCAAGAGGACGGGGCTGGGCAGGGGCAAAACAAGCTCGTGGGCCTGAAAAATAATGATTATTATTATTATTTTAATCAAAATATTTCAGGAAATCAAGCATCTGAAGCCCCTTTTTTCTTTTTCTTTCTTTTTTTTTTCTCTTGGCCAGGGGGCTGGCTCCGATTCCCAGACATCACCTAGGAACTCGGGAATAGGGAAATCCCCTTGGTCAGTCCAAAACCCTTTTGAGGCACAAACGCACTTTTTATTTTTTTCCCCTAGTAGCTCAGCCCATTTCTCCAATCTCTCCTGCACACGCAGTCAATTAATTGCAATGGGCCACACAACAGGCAGGGCAGCATCCGCGCACAGGGACATCCCTGTGCTGCAAAGCAGAGGGGTGTAAATAAAGACAGTGCGGACGGAAATAACAGAGCGGGCGTGGGGGAGATGTAAATAAATGAGCGGGGTGTAAATAAATGAGGGGTGAGGGGAGGTGCAGGGGACACCAGGCTGGTGTCACCTCCCCTTGTCCCAGGTGGAGACCTGTGCGTGGCCACGGAGGGCAGGAGGCAGCCAGGGAGGGATGGGGATTTGGGAAGGTTTCCTGCCAGGGAGCAGGACACGGGCTCAGCTGGAGCTGTGGGACAGCAGCGCTTGTCCGGAGGGAACGTCCCGGCTGTGGCTCCGGCTGATCCCGGCTGATCCCGGGGCTGCGGCCAGCCAGGCTATGCCAGGATGGGGCCCGGTGCTGAGCTGAGCTGGGTCCAGACAGGCCCTGGGCTGAACGAGGCCAGTTCGAGCCAATCTGGTCCAGTTCAGGCCGAGCCGGGCTGATCTGAGCTGGTCAAATCCAGTCTGATCCAAGCCAGTCCAAACTGGTTCTATTCGGGCTGAACTGGTCTGCTCCAAGGCAGGTTGAGCCAGTCCGATCTGGTCTAATCTGGGCCAATCTGGTTTGGGCCAATCCAGGTTGGTCTGAGCCAGGCTGAGCCAAGCCAGTCTAACCTGGTTCAATACAGGCTGATCTGGGCCAATCCAGTCTGGACTGATCTGCTGCGGTCGGGGCCAATCCAAACCTGTTCGGGCCAATCAGGTCTTATCTGGGCCAATCTGAGTTTGGTCCAATCCAATCCAGACTAAGCCAGTTCAAACTAGTTCTATCTGGGCCAATCCAGTCCAGTCTGAGCCAAACTGATCTGACCTGATTTGGGCCAATCTGGGCCAATCCAATCCATTTGGGCCAATCTGGGCCAGTCTGAGTCAAGCCAAACTGGTCCGACCCAGTCTGATCTGGGCCAAACTGAGCTGGGCCAATGCGATATGGTTTGGGCCGAGCCGGCCCGATGTGACATGGTTTGGGTCAGGCTGGGCTGATATGATGCAGGCCAGACCGATGTGATGTGGGCCGAGCCGGCCGGGCCGGGCCGAGTCAGGCCGATGTGATGTGGTTTGGGCCGGGTCGGGGCGGGCCCCCCGGGGCGG